GAGAGTCTGCTTTAGCACCAGCCAATGGCTTCAGGGACGGGAATGGGCTGGGCACCCTTGTGACTTCTCCACAGGCCTGGTCCCTTTAAACTTCAGCACAAGGTAACCAAAAAAAGCTTAAAGTGACATGCTGCTCAGAGGCACCCTCTGAAGCTGCAGCCAATATCAATGCTGACAAGCTAATGGCTACTGAGGGAGAACACGCCTAGATTTCCCTCAGCTTCTAACTTGTGTAGGAATTTAACACATACTTATTTATACAAAAACAATAATCACATGAGTCACTGGTAGAAGAGGTCCCACTAATAGGAAGGGCCCAGTGAGAAGGCTTCCGTGCAGAGGTGGCCTTGAAGCTGGGTTTCAAGAATTTTCCAAACAGAGAAAGTAGAGACAGGATTGCAGGCAGAAAAAAAACCCACCAGCATTCAAAGAAAGAAAAGTTGGGCTGGAGCAAGTAACTTGGCTTTGTGGGAAATAAAGTTGAGCCTTGAAGCCAGAGCAGAATCTGGCACAAGAGCAAAGACAGTGTTAGTTAGGGAAGACACAGCAGGAAGAAATGAAACTGAGATGTTTTGGGGTGATTATCAAAACCCCACTCTGTCCCTGGCCCTGCTGAAGGTGGACAAGACAAGCAGGGAACATTAACACCAGCCCACCACTAATTAGCCCACAAGACAGGCTCTGCTCTCCCACTGTAGAAATGAGGAAGAGAGACCTGCAAAGGGCAGCAATTTGTCCAAGGACACAGAACTGACAGAGCTCACGAACCAGCTTGCAGGTGTTTTTCATTACAGCCAGGATTCAGCACTGACTGAGCTGTTTCCTACCATCCCAGGTAAAGCTCTATGGTGTGGCAAACCTTTGCCGTTCCTAGGATGCTGTTCAAACTTTCAAATTTACTTTCTTTATGACTTTTTATTCTGCCCTGGGGGATAAAGCTGTAGGAGCCATAAGTTGTTACTTGTTCCACATCTTTTGGAACCATCACTGAGAGGACAAGATTACACCGACAGATTACCAACTGGCAACTGATCGATTCCATCCATCATTTCAGAACGTGCTCAGCAGCCTGGAGCAGATCCAGCCGCCATCTGAGAAAGGTCAGCAGGGCCCCACCAAGAAATGCTGTATAAAGACAACGCCAGATCTGTGTGGAAAATGTTAAACACACTCCATGCTGGACAACCCAGAAACTGCCTACAGGGACTGGTGAACCATCATCCAAGAAGCCACGCTGAATTATTCAGAGGCTGTCTCAAGGCCACACTTGGATTGGCCAGGCTCTCTCCCACCTGCCAAAGGAAGGGCGGCTTTCAACCCACAAGGGTCGTTTGTAAACACAAACATGTATGCACACAAGGGGAAAAAGCCCCCTTCTACTTTTCTCCTGAGGTTAACCGTGTGCCAACCCTTAGGTAAGAGGAAAAAGCCGTGTTTCCTAGGATCACTAACAAAGCCTAAAACAGCAATTCTTTTGCCTTGTATTTCATACTTTTCTTTCTTTCTTGCCCCCAAACTCCAATAAAGATGTGTTTCTTTGGTTTTATAAGGTCATTAATCAGAAATAATGTTAATATAAAGTCCTTCCATCATTAAACAGGAAAATTAGCTCTCCCTTCTATATCTGACTTTTTAATCTTTTAATGAGAACATAGCTCTAAAACATGATTTTTTACAATAATTTCAATTCTTGTTTTGTATTTAGAGATCACCTGCAGTCATCACCCCAGCTAAAAAGCTACTGTATATGAATGTCCAGGATGGCAGGCCTGGGTTTCCCTAAAGGCCACCTGTCCTTTAGTCTCCAGGATAACTGGCAGTCACCTATGATACCCGAGGAAAAGATGTACAAAGATGTTTCCTTTGGAAGCTATGTAGTACCTCTTAATATGAACTTTTGTAAAATAAAAGGGCATAGCATTGATAATAAATGGGTCCAGAATTGAAGATCTGTGCTGAAGCCAGTTTGATCTGGGGACTTCCTCACTCAGGAGGCTGATTAAGGACACTTTTCCTCTACGTGAACCCACATATTGAGAACTACATTATTCCCACTCTCCTTCTACTGTCGTAGAACACTAGAGTTTCCCGGTGTGTGGACACTTCCTGAAAGGTCTTCCCTTACAGTCACAGGCAGTCTCCTGCCCACTCCACAGTCATGATGTGTTCTTGAATGACTCTCACACCTGACCTGGCTCAGTAGAACTGACAAGTACACAAAAGCTTGACTAAAGGGACCAACTATTTAAAAAATATGACTCATCATTTACCTTCTTGGGAGGGGGCAGGAAAAAAAGGGATGGAAACTTGTAACATATTCCAAAAGTAAAGATGTTAATGGCTTTAGAGTCACTGAACAGCCATCCGTGTAGTATCTCCAGGCTCCATGAGAAGCATTACACTCATCCCAGACGCAAGGAGGTTTTACCTTGCAGCAACATCCCACCTGCCTACGAAAGTAAATCCACCCTCCATGGTCCAACTTTCATTTATCTAGATTCTCAACTTAGCAAAGCAGAATTGTGAGCTACAGGAAAAATGACCTGCAACCAACTTTTAAATATAATCTCCACAACTATTCCAGGCACCTCGAATGTAAATTGAGTGCTGGGAGAGTACCATCACAAGATTAGGTGGCTAAGCCCTGGATGCATACAACCCTCTGCTCACTTTCAGAACAGTGAGTTCTCAAACAGTGCAGACCACTTGTGCCAAAAACCCCATCAACTTTTATATGATACTTATTTTTTTTTATAAAGGGTCCAGCTTCACTGTAGCACTTGGTCTAAGATTTATAATCTCTTGCTTTTGAATCCATAGCTACGTGGGATGACTCTTAGAAACAACAGTGTGAAGATGGCCCTCATCCTGGATTCTGCCATGCATTTCGTGACTATAGAAAATCTAGTCCATCACTAGTGAAACCTCAGGCATGGGTAGCCACAGTCTAGCTTTCCGGGTGCAGTGCTCACTGCAGTAGTTCCAGGGGGTGTCCCCAGACCAGCCAGACCAGCAGCAGTACTGCCTGGGAATTTAATAGACAAGCACATTCTTGGGTCTCAGCCCAGGACCTACTGAATCAGAACATTCACAGATGGCATCTCACTCCCAGGAGGCAAATGCCCTTACATTTGAGGGCAGTCACCACAGCAGCTACCAAACGTGTTTGCACACTTAGAGCCTGCAGGTAGCACTAAAGGCCATCTGGAAGAACAGAAGACAGGAAGCTCAAGTTTTACATTTCAGAACCCCCAACCCCTGCCACTGACCACACTGTACGATCAGCCTGCTGAGTAAAAAGGTGAGAGGAGCCTCAGCTTTCAACAGAAGCCAGGTTGTAATGCTCCCCACCGCCACCACCACCCCAACCCCATCATGTTGAGGGATACACTCAATACTTGACTCTTTTCATTGTTGTGCTTGATACGATTATGGCACACTTTAAGAATGAAGTCAATGACAATTAAAACAGCCAACAAAACAGAAAACTCAAATTATGACTAGCTACTGTGTGTATCAACGTAGTATCAACATACTTGATTGCAAAAGAATGAGGCCCCTACTCTGAAAATCGAATTATACAGATGTAACAGAAGTGTGAAAGGAGGATCCCTCACCCCCAATTAAAACAAGGTATCCAGCTAGCCCTCTGAAGGACCACCAAAACCAGCTGTTTTACCATCCAAACACTTGGAATAAGGGTATGGCTTAACTGGAACTCTTCATGGGCCGATGGAGTCAGCATGAATCAGTAACAACCACTTCAGAAAACCATTTTGCAATACTAAAGCTGAACCCACAAGCACCTATGAATAGCTACCACTCCTGGGTAAAGACACTCTAAAGATAAGAGTGTCAAGGTCCATCAAGAGCTTTAAAAGAATAATCTCAGAAGTGTTAACTCCTCGTAGTTGCAAACCAGAAACACCTAATGTTATCCATCCTCAGTAGGGTAGCATTATGCATACAACAAACTAGAAGCAGGAAAACAAAAAACAAAAAAACAAAAAAAAAAACATGGTACATACAGCAAGGATGGATCTGGCAGAAATGATACTAAGGAAGACAGATGCAAAAGGCATAGGAGTCCAATCAGGCACAACTAATTTGATGACAGAACACACCTGGGATTCACGACAGGTTATTATGAACCGCTAGCTGACCTGTGGCACACTGCATTCAGTGGGGTGAGCCGCATACTCAAAATCCATGTTTAACCCTTTACAAATGAGAGGGGCTATGTATGCAAAAGATGTACGCGTCTGGTTGCTATGTTACAACTGTAAAAATCTACATCTCCGGGTACCTGTACCCTGATAAAGTACATTTGCTGTAAAAAATGTTCTGTGTTTGCTGAGCTAAAACCCAAAAGTAAAGTGAGTTTTCCTCTTTTCCCATGTTGTAGCATCAAATGTATCACCTATAAAACGGCAGACCGTTTTTTAGCTTGCATTCCCTAGCCCAAATTTATTTCATATGCCATTTAATACGCCCCTTCTCAGGTGGCACCGACTGTCCACTGTCCCAGGCCCCAACATGTCCTGATAGCTGATCACCATCTACAGGAATACCGAAGGGCCTGGTTCTGGGGTTTGGACTGTCACTGTGTCCTGGAATTGCTTTAAACCACGCTCGGCTTAACCCGACGCAGCTTCTCTAAAGCCGCCAAGCAAAATCTCTGGTTGGAATGCAGCAAGATTCTAGACACTGAGGACCCGGTAACACCCAGGGGCAGCGGAGTCCCGGAGCCACGGCTGCCCTCTGCAGCCAGGGTAGCTAAACCCGCAGCAACACTCCAGGGAACCCGCGCGTTCTCTCACTCCGCTTCCGTGTTTGGAGTTCCCGCCTGGCGGGACACGTGACCAGGATATGCAGCAAAGTGTGCGGCGCCGAATCCCGGCCCGCACTCGCAGGACCTCGCGGACCGGTGCTGACCCAGGCAAAAGCCTCGCGCCGCCGCCACCCTGAGCGCTCCCGGCCCACGCACCGCCCGCGTTTACCTGGAAGTAGGAACACGAGTTGCCGGGGAGCCAAGTCCCCGCGGTCTCGGCCCGCGGCCATGTCTCGCGCCGCCGGAAGTGGCACCGAGGGGCCCGCCAGCCCGGGCCACCAGCGTACCTCCGTTTCCGGGCCCGCCCGCTCCGCTTCCTCTTTCTCTTTGAATTCTGCGCGGGCGCTGGTGTCACAGAGACTTGGAGCCTCCGCGGCTCTCACACCCCCAGCTTGCGGGGGCTGCTTATATGTGTATTTCACACATTGAGGTTCCTAATGCATGCGAGCAGTCTTCCAATTGGGTTTGGGACAATTTGATGATTATGATAATTTTTTAAAGATAAAATCCAAAATATGTATAAAACATGGAGTTCAACATACAAACTTGTTTAGGAGAATTTTTATATTAGAAACAAGAGTTAGTGTTGAGTTGGCTTGATTTGGATTTGACACTTGGTCTCACCATATGCCCGAGACTGGCCTTGAAACTACGTAGCCCTGGCTAGCGTTGAACTCTGGATCAAGGATCTCTCAGGTGCTGGAATGACAAGGGTCTGTGGTTTACTTCCAAACCATAATTTATCATCAGGAGGAAAAATGGTTGTCCTGTTTTTATTTTATTGCCCACTGCTCACCTAGTGACAATAGAAAAAGCTATTCAGCTATTTAATCTAATGTATATATATATATATATATATATATATATATATATATATATATATATATATCTTTTGAGAAAGGACATAGACAGCCAGAAGTTGCTCTGGATCTCAAGACAAAATTCTGAGATTCCCATCAGACACAAACCTCTTAAAAATACCCACCTCTAACCAGACTATTCTAAGACCATGAGAAAAATAAGACCAAGCAGGAACATTGCATGATTTTGTCAGAAAAAAAGGAAAGTCAGAGTGCCATTTGTGCAATGTCAAAACTCCAGCAGTTGGCTACATGAGAACTGCTGCTGCTTTACCTAGTACAGCTAGTCTCCCTGGCTGTGGCTAAAAGTCACAGAGATAGGGCAGGATAAAAAGACAGAAGAGGACACTAAAGGGGAAGGGGACCCCCAGGGACCTGCTTTACTTTTCATGCTGGCTGAGAATAAAGAATATTGACTCAATTGGACCATAAGGTGGCTGAACTGGCAAAGGTGTTATAGAATTAATATGCCTTCCTAGGGAGAAATCACTGCACACTGAGAGGTTAATAAAGGAAAAGCTCTTTAGTAATATTGCATGTCTGGCTCTGGTTAATGCTCAAAGAGGAGCTGGCCTCTAGTAGAAGATGTTGCTACTCAGGCTTATGTATTTCATATAGGCTGTCATCCATAAATCTCTTTTGGGTCCTGGCTCCAGGTTACACCGAACAGTTTAAACAGAAACAAGGAGACTGCAAGTCTGGTCACTTGGGCAGATGGGAGATTTACACTGCAAAGAGACTGCCAGAATTAGTTAAGTACAACAGTGTGGTTCTTGCCCACCTGGCAGAACAATGCTTTTCCTGATGAGAGCACAGAGAACTTCATGGCAGACCAGGACATAATGATGGTTGTGACCCTGTGCTCCCTGGAGCATGTCCAGAGGCATGTTTTTTGATACAGGATAGGTCTAATGGCTAGTTGTAAGTCTAGGTTGTCTCCTTTTCTTATGAGAATGGAGACTAATTGGAAATGAACAAGCATTAGCAAAAACTTCCTCGGCAATCCTGAACTTCAATTGTGTTACAGAATTTTCTTTCCCACGGCTTCTAACAATTCTTGTTAGTGCACTACTGTAGCACAAATAATAAAAATTCAGAGACACATATTGGGGTTCCAGCTGAAGAGCAGAGAAACAAAGCAGCCGAGCCACCAGAAAGCTCTTACCTCTACCAAGACTGGGGGATCCTGTTCTCCCAATGGGGAGAGACTAATTGCCAGTGACTGGAAACTCTACCAAGACTGGGGAGTTGTTATCCTCAACATAGCTGGAGACAATTGCTCCAATCTGAGACCCTGCTCCTATTTTATATACCTGTCCAGTGCTGGGATTAAAGGCATGAGCTCTGTTTATCTTTTAGACTGATTCACTCTCATGTAGCCCAGGGTGGCCTTGAAATCTCAGAGGTCCATCTGCCTCTGTCTCCTGAGTCCTGAGACTAAAGGTGTGTGCCACCACAGCCCAGCTTCTATGGCTATGACTAGCTTTGCATTCTAGTCTTTTTTAGATCATAAACAATATATCACTACCCACTACTTACCTCCCGGTAATATTAGAGGCAGTGCTCCTTTAACTAAATTCTACTTTTCTGTAACTTAGTATTTCCCAGGCAATTTTATTAGTTAATACTTTATAGCATCAATTTTATTACTTTGACTTTCTCCTGAGTTCAACAACAGAAGCCAAGTGATAGAACAGTAATGAACTGACTCCTAAAAGTTTTCCTCTGACCTCCAGACATGTGCTGTGGCACGGGCATGTGCTAAAGATGAACCAATTTTCCAGTAATGTGAGTGTCTTAGCCAGTGTTTTGCTTAATAGCAAAACTAAAAAGATGTTATTTAAAGTGAAAATGGTGACACTTCTTCAGGACAGGAGTCAGTCTCTTGTTGAGAGTTCTGTGATTTATACTGATGACTAAAGACCCACATCCCTGAAAACTTTATCTCCTTCATCAGATACCTCTAATATAATTCAGCTAGTAAGAAGGTTTTTTAAAACACATGTGTGTGTTTCATATGTGTGAGTACATGTGAGTGCAAGTGTGCATGTACATAGTGTGTTTACATGTAAAGACCCACTGTTGGCATTAAGTGTGTTCCTCAGTTGCTCTGCACTTTATTTATTTGATAAAGGTCTTACTCAACCCAAGACTCACTGATTCCAGCTAGTCTCGTGAGCCAGCTTGCTCTGAGGGCCCCCTCACTTTGCCTTTGAAGCTCTAGCTGTACAAGTGGTTGCTAACAATGCCCAGTTTTCTATATGTGTTCTGGGATCGGAACTGTGGTCCGTGTGTTTGTATGATAAGCATTTTATCCACTGTGCCATTTCCCAGCATAAGGATTATTCTTTTTTTAAAAAAAGATTTATTTATTTTATGTATATGAGTGTTCTATCTGCATGTATGCCTTTATGACAGAAGAGGGCATCAGATGCCATCGTAGATGGCTGTGAGACACCATGTAGTTGCTGGGAATTGAACTCAGAACCTCTGGAAGAGCAGCCAGTGCTCTTAATTGCTGCGCCATCTCTTCAGCCCAATGGCATTATTCTTTAAATGCTTGCAATTTCTCTGCTTTAAATATAGGCATGAAGCATGATTTTTAAAATATCCTTGTCAAATTTCCAGCCAAAGCAGATAGGGCTTGCTTATTTATTATAATGATCAGATCAGAAGTGAATAATTTGTTACAAATGAAACATTTTTTGGAGTTGGGAAGATTTTTTTAAATTGTGAAAGGATTGCCCCTGTATTTATGACCACAATATTAGTCACTAAACTTTGGCAGTGATTGACTAAGTTGTCTAAAAAAATAACTAAGAGGGCTGAAGAGAAGGATCAGTTGGTAAAGTGCTTGCCATGCAAGCTTGGGGATCTGAATTCAGCCCCCAGCATAAATGGAAAAGCAGAATGAAGTGCTGGAACCTTTATTCACATTGCTGTAGGTGGCACCTAGACGGGAGAATCTCTGGAGCTTGCTCCCAGATAATCAGGACAAATTGGTGAGCTCCAGGTTCATTGAGAGACCCTGTCTTAAAAACTCTGGTAGAAAGTGAGAGAGAAAGACCCTTGACATTGACCTTTGGACTCTACATGTGGACATGAACCCTTGCAATACACCCATGTTCATCCACTGTTACGATAAATCTTTCAGCCAAAGCTGCCGAGCCCTACCGCCACGTGAGCATTCTCCGCCAGCCGCCCAAATTCTTCCTGCCTCATGGATGAACAAAATAATACAGAGACATATTAGGTACAATGCTGCTAGGACAATGACTAGGATTCTTCCTCTGTTAGCTCAGTCTTAATTATCATAAATCTATATATTTTACAAGACTTATCTTATCGGATGCCTTATTGCGGTCCCTCCTTGCTGGTGGATCACATTGCGCTGCTGGAAGAGCAAGGGGAAAAAAGGGACCCTTTCTATTTCTCCTTGCTCAATATGAGTCTCCTTGTTATGTCACTTCTGGCCTGGATCACCACTTCTCTACTGCATTTCCCAGAATCCTCTTTGACTCCTAGTCCTGTCTAACTTGCTGCTATTGGCCAAACAGAACTTTACTTAACAATCAATAAGATAAACATACACAGTACATTCCACGTACAAGCACACACCAAAAATATGGAACTTGTGGACAGGAACTCTATTTCTGTTTTAAACTGTAATGAGGTTTCAGAAAGCATGAGCAAGATTGAGAGTTGAACATTATGTTAAACCTTACCATTGAATATATGTTCAAAATGCTCAGTTTGTTATGCATGGGCTTGTAGAAAGGAAGAGCACCATAACCTTGAGAATAAAAGAAAAAACATTAATTTCAGGTTTCAGATCATTCTAACAGTTTGTAAAATAATGCACAGACTAAGGCAAAGCTATGTGAGGCAGTAGATATCTAGCTAGTCCTCACTGGATTCTTTGTTTGTAAAAGCTTTGTTCATGTGCTGTTTATACGACATCACTCTAGGTGAAGTTGTTCTTTATGAAATTATTTTTGACATCAGATGTGTATTCTATGATCCAACATACAGATGGTGTTCATATAGTAATTGTAACAGGCTTCAGACCTTAGTTTCAGTAGGCCCCAAGACTTTAGCACAACTGCATCCATGATGGAAGTACTACCCAGGCTGTAAAACTCAGCCTGCAGACTGTACCACCTGCCAAAATGAAATCAAAGACCTTGTTGGGGACCAAAACTTATCGATTATAAAATATCAGGGGTCCAAACCTCCAGGAGCCTGAATCTCCCATTGTCTTTCAGATGCTGGCTAAATTGCTGCCTGCTGGCTTGGCCTCAGTGGAGAATATATCCTAGTTTGCATAAGAACAGACCTAGGCCCCAGGTGTTCCAGCACCTATTCAGAGAACTTGCTTACTGTGCCTAGAGTCTGTTTAGGTGCCTCTTAAATTAAAGAATTATTT